CTGCTGACCCAGAATCTGCACTTTAACCGTGTCCCCATGTGGTAAGTATCCACATTAAAGCCACAGGAACTCTGTCCTCGAGTTTTAGAGCACCTGAGGAAAAAGAAAGGCAAATGGAGGCTAACTTTGCCCAACCTGCCTTATTGCATATCCAGTTAAACAGTGAAATTAGAATTGAACACCTAATTAATAATTGACCTCCCTCAGAGCTTTTATAAAGTAGCTGGTACTTACATAAATGGAACTGGGCTTATTAAAGATAAGTCCATTTCAGGATGTCCCTTAGGAACTAAAAGGTCTTTTTTTTTTTTTTTTTTCTAAAAAATCAAAAGCAGGGCTGGCTGGGGGAGTGAGGAGGTGTGGGGGGGAGAACAACAGAGCACTACTTAAGAGAAGTTGGATCCCACATGGGGACCATGGTTCAAATCCTCAGCCCTTCAGTCGGAAACACATGCAAGTGCCCAGGATCTGCTGGGCTAGAGGACTGAGGAGGGGACCGATGGAGGGTGCTCACTGCTCACTGTCTTTCTCACAATCTCATACGCACATACTCTAATATAAATGAAGAAAAATACTTTTTAATCAAGAGCAGTTTTAAGTGCTTACTTCCATACATGGCACCGTGATTTCATCCAGACTATTGATTAGGCACACACACCTCTTCATTTTCTCTCCACTTTCTCCTCTCCTTCCATCCGCGTTTGCCAGATACACACAGGGGCAGGTGGCCGTTTACATAACATGGATTTCTACTTACAGGGATTCAATGGAATGTTATCTGTTGGACTTTGCTCTCTTTTGTTTGCAACTACCAGGCATTTGGATTATATCCTACTTTTCTATATTTATCTGGTCCAGTCCAATGTCTGTGTCTGGGGACTCGAGGGGGATGCTAAAAGATGCCACTGGGGAGGGAGCTCAAGTGACCTATTCTCTTTATTTTAAAAAGTTACAAACCATCGTACTTGACCTCAAAATAATGATGCTCACTTCCAGAGCAGTTTAATTTGAAAGTGAGGTGTTAATGTGCTATGGAAAATGTCATCATGATCTATGTATTAACCACGCCTCCACCTGCATTGGGAATTTACAGGAAGCAAGTAAATAGATGAATAGATCTTGGACCCAAACACAAGGGGGCCCACATTTTAAAAGATTGCTTTTCACTAGCATTTACTTCTTAATGATGCTAGTAAAGATGGGGTTCAGGACATACTACTCCCAGTATGGCGCCTTAGCATTTGAGGCAACAGGGTCAGGAAGGCTGCTCACCTTCCGCTGCCTTTCTTCTACGAAGCCAGTCATCAGATCTAGGAAAGACTGGTGTTCACCTGAAGCAGGTCAGAAGACCCTATACCTGGAGGAAAGGAGCATCCTCCTCTCTGAAGACACAGAGACAGAGAAGAATCTGAATCAACTGACTTTGCTAAGTTCTCCCCAATTTATTTCTATATTAACCTAATCATATTTCTCCACAACTGTCCATTGCTTCATCAAACCTAGCATAAAAATACACACAAGTTTACTGTCATTTCCTTTTGATGGCTTCTTCATCATTTAAACCCTACATTCAATAACTCTGTATTCTTTTCTCTTGTTACTCTGTCTTTTGTTGTAGGGGCCTCAAAGATGGGAAGGAAGCTGATGCAAATGTGTATTTAAGCACTATTGGTGGCAACCCAGAATCTGTGTTCTCCGGAGGGTATCTATGACACACTGTTCTGGACAGCCTTTAAATAATCGGTGGTGAAACAGAGGATATCACCAGGTGACAATGGGACTGGAAGTGATCTGACATTTGTACGTGATGAGATACTCATTTTTCTGAAATAAAGGATCTATGAAGAGAGGAATTATGGCTAGTATTTACCCCAGCTTTTCATAAACATCCCCAAATTCCAGGCACAAGACAAAAGGCATGACTCATATCACAGCAGGCATTATGGCCAGGGAAGTGGCCCTTGTGAAGATTGCTTCCCTAATGCCTGAGAATGGCTCTTAGGAGATCTGTAGGAAGCTGATAATAGGGCATTTCATTCGAGTATCGTGGGGAAAAATCTGGTTTTTGATCAAGAGAATTTCCTAGGCTAAAAATGTCATGCTTCCAGACCTCGATTTGATTTTTTTAGTAGATCATGAATAAAAAGAACAAAAACTTCAGAAAACAGTATGGATGATTGTAATCCTTTCATTTTTTTTCTCATTTGAATCCACATCATGAGATTATCCTGATAGGGGTGGCTTGAGTTCTCCAGTATGTTATGGTTTTACCAGGCCAGGAAGGTCCACTCCTGCCAGTCTCTCTTCCCAACAGCTGTCAGCATGCCCACAGTCTCACTTGCAGAAGGCCTACTGTGGGTGAAGGTGGTATTATGCACAGGATCCCACTTGCAAAGGGCCCACTTGGTCTGAGTAGGTTTAGGACTCAGCCTTTTTATAAGCACTCCAGATGATTCAGAGTAAGTTTAGAGGAATGCTGACTAACACTAAGCAAATTCCTCATATTAAAAAGTAAAATTCATATCAAAAATAAGAAAATAGGGCCAGCAGATGGCATAAGGCACTGGACTCCCATGTGGCCTACCATGGTTTGAGTCCTGGACCCAGCAGCTAGAAAATCATGCCAGGCACATGTGTGTGCATGCCCAAAAATCCAAAAAGAGAATGGAAGAGAAGGGATTGCAATGAAGCCATGCCCTCTGTACGGTGATTTCTCACTTCCCCTTTGTCTGTCTCTCTGTGGTGAGTGCATGCACCCAATGGCAAAAATTTAAAAAAGAAAAGAAAAAAAGTAGAATGGTGGCTGGCTTAGTGACACAGTGGTAACATGAAGCTCAAGCAATGCTGGATCCAAATGCAAGATCAAGATCGTGGGTTCAGTTCCCTGGTTGACCTGTATACAACAAGCACACACGCCCATAATTCTGGATAGCTGGGAAGACTGTGGGGGAAAGGGACATCACAGGGAGAGACTTTGCTGAAGGTGTCTCCTACTCGCTCTCTCATTCTCACATGTCCATACATGTGCTGTATCGTAAATGAAGAAAAGACATTGTTAATTAAAAGAAAGAATTAAAAAAAAAAAACCACTTCTCCAAGTCAAACAACTAGTGCTGAGGAATCAGAAGAGAGTCAAGAAGACTCTGAGGTTTTGTGTGTGGGTCACTGAAAGATGGGCTTTCAGTTTGCATCAGTGGGGAATCCAGAGGAGGATGCTACTGTGGGAGGGAGGAGAAAGATAGAAGGTTCCATGTGGAATGAGCTCACCTGGCTGAAGAAGACAGCAGGCTACTGCAAATGCTGGCCTGGCACTAGAGAGACAGGTGGACTTGGGCACCGCTTTTGGGCAAATTAGTAAAAGTGGAAGCAGGAAGTAGACAAGCTCAGCAGGGGCGGGGAGGAGGAAAAGGGGGAACACAGGAGAGTAAGAGCAGCCAACTTTCAAGGCCAGGTCCTGTGGAAATGTCCACACTGTGTTTAGGCAGCAGGCAGGGCAGAGAAGCCAGTGGCAAACTGAAAGAGAAAAGTACCCTCGGGAGCACCTTGGAAGGCCAAGACGATGGGGCCTGGTGTGGAGGCTCTTACAGGGGCAAACTGCAACCTCAGGGCCTTATAGTGCAAGTTAGTATGTGCAGAGGCTGACTCAGGCTCACAGTGATGGAATCTCTATCATAGTTATGGGAGGGAAACAGAAATGTTACCATTGTCATTTTAAGGATGCATATCGGTCAGCATCTCAAGGTCACACACCTCCACTTTTGTCCAGATTCTCTTTCCACTGAGAAGGGAATTGGAGGTGGGGAAAGCAGTCAGGTGCAAGCAATGATGGTAAGGGACGGCAACACTGGTAGAGACTATATATATATATATATAT